TTTTTCTACTTCATCCCCCCCCTCTTCTCCCTCCTCTCCATCCTCTTCTGCCACCTCTGCTTCCGCCCCCTTCCCCTCTTCTGCGGCTTGGACCGTAGTTTGGTCTGCGGCTCTGCCTCTAGCATGATCCGTGGCTTGGGCTCTGGCTTGGACTGCGGCCGAGTCTGTGACTTGGTCTGTAACCCGGTCCGAGGCTCGGCTCGCAGCTTGATCCATGGGCCGACCCGGTGCAGGTAGCCCACCACCACCGTCGCCCGAATCAGCAAAATATCTCTCCATAAATCCGAGCATGATGCGGTCTCTGGCGGCGGCTTGTATTTGCGCTTCCCGGAAATTTTCGTCCATCCGGTCCATCCTGTCTAACATTACTTGAAATGAGGACAAGAGTTCTAGCAAGATAGTACCCTGGACCGTTGGTGCTGGCGCTGCTTGGGCCGATTCTGGTTGTGCTCTCAATAGGCGTGAGAGATCATCGAGCCTAGTCTGACCACGTCGGGTCACCATCCCGGGTTTCTGGGCAGTAATTTTGGCTCTTATCCTGGGGGTTTCGTTAACAGCTAGGGGCGCCTGGGCTATCGTTAGTTTCCTCAACAGGACAGGAATAAACTTGGTTACTGACCCTAATTACCAGAGATAGTTGTCGCTCCCGGTCGGGGAGTCTATTAAACTCATCGATCATGGATTGAAAGGAGTCCTGACTATCCACCGCCACCGGGTTCTGGGCAGTAGATTGTGGAAGGACGTAGGTTAATGAATCTGACGTACCAAGCCAGTGGGTAACAAGGCTCGAGAGAAATTTCCAGTTCATATAGCCCATGGCGCTTGCTACGACTGCAGTGATGGGACCGGCTATGACATTATTTCCATCGCCATCGTATCTGGTTGCGGTTATCCTGGCAGTGTGAGTTGCGGCCTATGCACCATTGGGCGATATAGGGTTAGCCAAGAGCAAATTCTTTCGGGATATGATGGAGGGGCAAGACATGCCTGATCTGTGCTATCGACTGCGAGGCTTCGGCGGACAACCACACGTATTGCGGGAAATCTGTTTTCGGCTGCTGAGTAAAAAAGCGTTCCGAAGTCCTCATGGGTTCGAAGGATTGTCTCAGGCCCGGGGGTGAACCTTGCATCTCCGATATTTGCATAACCTGCGAACACTTGGTCAGCCGGGAAAGGCTCCGCGTTCAGCATGAAGGTCTCCCAATCGCGGGTAGGCTCCTGGGGTCGCTCGTATACGAAGCCTTCTGTACTGAATCGCATAACTGTCGTCCAAGTCATCGGTTGTTCGATAGCAATATACCCCTGTCTGTGGTCAACCTGTAGAGCACGCATCTGCGAATAGAATACCAAGTAATCGCTTTGGCTAGACAAAGGTGTTGATTCGACGCCATCCATCCAGTAACAGAGAATGGAGGCGGGGAAGAGCTCTCTCTGACTCTCCAGATATCTTCGGATGGCAAGATAGCTAAAATTATGCTCTGTGGGTAACGGAAACGTCCCTCCAAGTATCCCAATGGCGTTGATGGTGAGGGTTGGATCACCTCTGCTCAGGTCGGTCCTAGGGATCTCTTCAGGAATTTGCATCCACCTAGTGTCACCGGAGGGCCTTATTAAATGTCTGATCGGTTGTACGAGTTCTGTAGCAGCCTGTCCCATGGTTGGCAAAAACGGAGTGCCTGTCTGGGCGTTCATTCGAGCTACACGCTTTGGGGGTCTTGTGCGTCTGTCCCGATCGATCAGGCCCCCCTCGTCTTCTTCGGAGGATGAGTAGTTGTAGAATCTCTTCTGCTTGCGAGGTCTAACCCCATGTTCATCCTCTTGATCTATGGAAAACTGATTAAGTAATGAGTCCTCACTATCTGAGTAGGGAAAATAGCCTTGCTGTTGACTGATCGCTTGTTGGTATCTGAGCTCCTTCTCCGCCCACCTAGAACGGAAACTCTCCACTGCTGAGTCAATATTGGTCGGGTTATCCTCATTGGCTGGCTCTTCCGACTCTTCGTTCCAGACATGGGATGCTAGTGGCGCGGAGATCACAGACGCGGAAATGTTTCTCGTTAGTGCTAGGGCGACACCCTGCCTTGTTGGGACGGCGGTGCGCCATCTTTTAGCAGCTGGCTGGGCGAGAGATCTTGCTGTCCAAATCCAGAGCTGGTCATTTATCCTTATATATGACGCTTGAGGTAACCTGATGGTATCACCTCCGTACGTTTTCGAGCTAGTTTCCAGAATTTGAATGATTTTGTCAGTATTGTCGTCAGGAAGGAAAGCTGCTCGAGCAAAGCCCCGGGGGATGTTTCCGGCATCTTCTAGTCGACTCCCGACTAATACCTGAGCGGTGTCTGAAGCCATGATCAAATATTTATCGCGAAGTTCTTCCCTCTCCAGATTGCTAAGTTGGTTGTTCCGATTTAATCTCATCACTAAAGTGATCTAATTAGCTGTGAAAGAATGGGGGAACGACTGTACTTACAAGCGCTTCCATATGCCGCCGAATACTGCCGCATGACAGGGAGGGTTTGAGCCCTCGTCCAAGAGCCCTCCGAAAGGATTGAGTCGCTAATGGATGTGAACTCATGAGCGCTGGGGTTAGGATGAGTGGTGGCCTACCTCATGAGCACAACCTTATAACCCGGCGGGACGGGCACTACCGAGAAACCACACCCGTTATCTTGACCCTGACATAGACAGCCATGAGGGTAATTGCCTACTGTCAGACAGTTCATTTGAAGAAGGATTCCACCGGCGTTGTCAAGGTGCCACATTGCCCGCTCCAGATCTTGGGAGTGATTAGCATGCGATAGCACGCTGGTGACGCTGCTGAGTAGGTCGATGGTAGTGGAAGCACCGGTTTTCTGCAGACTCCGAGTCTAGAACCCACTCACTGTCAATTTTTTGGGGGGCCAAACTACTCCGAAGACTCGGACTTACCGGAAAGGAATGCCGAAGAATTGCCCGGTATTCCGTGGGGGACCAGTTTTCTACTATGTACGATCTCGCAGCCTGGCTTTCCCCGTCTGTTGGGACGGGTCCCTGAATTTGGGCGAGCCCCTCGAGGAACGAGGTTACCGTTCTCACGGAGTAAACGCCGCAATCATATCCGTTCCGTTGTTGCGGTACATTCACCACCGTATTCACCGGTAGGGTCAAGGTTGCCGCTGATCCAGCAATATTCTGGACGACGGGTGATTCAAATATAGGATTCAAGACATTGAAGAGGATGTTAGGATCGCCAATACCTACAAAGCTGTTGTGACTGAAAAAGTGCCCTTTAACCCGGTCAACTATCGAGATCCACCAGTGGGTACCGGGCTGATTTGCCTGGACATTCGACTGTATAAAGATCCAAAACCTTGCACCTAATCGGTTTTGCGCGAGGTGCGAAGAATCACCGGTGACGGTTAATAAGGCTGTAATTGAGACCGAAAATATCTCTGCCTCCGGATGGAATTGGTTATACTGAGCTGTTACAGCGTCCATTATATCACTTGTAAGCCATCCCCTGGGTTCCAAACCTCTTGGGTCTGGCAGTGTCTGTGTTCGTTGAAATCTTTCTTCCCTGTCAAAAGGATCCATTGTGTAATTTTCAAGTGTCCATTGTCCAAACCGGATCGCCCGGGAAGCTACGGCTGCGGGAAGAAAGTTGGATTCTCTTCCTAAAAGCTGAACAATTCTAGCGACCGGCGGGTCAGGAGGAGCTCCTGGTGGGATAGCTTCCGTACAAAGTGGCTCTTGAATCATCCATGGGGTTGGGCCGTAGAAGTTATGTTTGCTTGTGCTCATAATTCTGTCTTCCGGTCCTAGCACTGGCCTGCGCCTTCTCAACCAGAATATTGGAGGCTGATTGTCGATTTCCAGGTAGGCAAAATTCGGAAGTACAACGGAGGCGGGTCTAGTACTGAGAATATCAACAGAATTGACACGAAGCGACATATAAAGAGGATATTCTAGCAACTCCATGGATTTGATGAAACCCTGGCCATTTTCGTCCAGGGCTACCAAAAATTTATTGACACGCTGATTCCATTGTAATTCAGTCGCCCGCCGGTGGGAAGCGGCCTGGGGAACGGTAGCTATGTCGTTGTTAGTGGGCACAGATAGCAACAAATATGACCTGGGGAAATCACCTCCGAGTGGGGGATTATCCATTTGCCTCTGGAAACGATCCGCAGAGCCTCGCAAAAGGATTTGTGCCCCCTTGGGAGCATGTGAGAGTCGGCTGGATGTTTAAATTAGCCCGTATTCGCAACAATAGTATCCGGTATTCTGAGACTCTGGGTGAGGATCAAGCTCACCCTAAAAAGATACGCTTTTGAGAACGACGGAGGGCTGTCACCTGGACTGCACATGGGCCGCCGCCTGCAGGACCGCATTCATCATTGATATTGCTTGGAATAGACCTGAACAAGATCGCTTCGGCACCATTATCAATCTCTCGTTGGGCAAACTCAATAGCCTTAATGTGATAGGTGAGAGCGAAGAGGCTCTGCGCAAAGTCATATGGCATATCCGCTATAGCTTCCGATTCTAATTCCTGTGTGGGGTCTTTGGGATTTTCGTTTTGTTGCTAGACCGTCCTCATTAGTATCAGTGGCGCACATGGTTTATCCTACTAACCTGGTGAAGGATTTCTAAGAGTCCGCCCATAAACCCAGGCATATCCCAACCTGCGGAATCAATGGTGGTCGCTGTCCTAGGCCAAAAGCCATCAGGGTTACTGGTCTCGTGCCATAGGGCTAAGGCCCTCAAGGCATATCGCCAAGAACGGTCTATCGTATCAGGAGCAGTGGATATATTGTAGCCTTGGGTATGGGCTATCCTGCAGACAGGATCTCTAGTCGCCACTCGTAAGCATTGCTCGAGGGCACCGTGGGACGATAAGATATCCGGTATGGCGACAGCACCAGTCGGCCAAGGAGCCAGAATGTGTAACGTCGCGGTGTTGAAATTTAAGTCCCCGAACCAGTACTCATGGATTTCATTCCGGAGAATGAACAGTAGGTTAGAGCATTGAGGGAGTCTCTGGTGTATTTCAGGAGTTAAAAAGGTGGTTGGTAAATCGTCCAGTAAAATGGGGTTTGAAATGACTAGAGGAGATCGGTTTGGGTATCTCCTAGAAAGTGATTCGCAATAGAGCTTCCACAGAGAATGATACGGGCGATTAGTATCGATTCCCCAAGGAGCGTTCCCCTCAAATTGGTGTTCGTTGTCCAAATCTTGAATGACAGGTTCAGTCCAAGCTCCCAGGGCGGCCACCCGTCCAGCCACCCTTGCCGCGGTGAAGTTGTCATCGCTGAAAAGAGCGAGAAATCTATTCAACTCATCGGGGACGGGACTGACCCGAGGTGCCAAGAGCGGGGGTCTGAGTTGGCCACGGTCAATTCGCAAGACAGTGGGAATCAGTTGATTGACCATGGCTGTCAAGACTGTCAAGACGCTGGGGATTCACGGGTATCTAAGGTGTCGGCTATCGCCACAAGGGTAAATTTTGAAGGGAGGATGTTGTTTCCTTCCTTCCCTCCATTGGCCTCGGTCCTGAGCATAGACCATATCTTTAAACATCTATTGTCTATGGCTCGGGAATCAAGAGAAAGGAAATTTACCCTTATGAATTTTGGCTTTTTTTTTTGTTATTTTTCTCGTCCAGAGCAAACAAAGGATTGAAGGACCCGAAAACCCGCGTCAGGAGACAAAGGGTAAAAAGCCATTTTAATAGGAAACAATAGAGTCTCCCTCGATGGGAAAATGTGTATGAAATATGATACAGTACAGAGTACTAGTCTCCGCAATTACCGGAGCAGGGCTTTTAGAGGGAAGAATCCCAGTTTTAGACGGCTTATACTGTGTAATTGGGAAGGTTATTGGATATCAATTCTAGAACTTGTGCGAGAAAAAATAGTGCTTACGTCGACATTGCAGGGTGTCTAGAATGTGGAAAATTGTAGTTCCAAGAAAAGGTGCTTAGACATCAGAGGTATCAAGCCAAAAGTATCCAGGACAATAAGACGGACGTCCCACGGATGTGAATATAAAACAAAGCATTCGTGTCCATGAAGCTTACGACGTTGGAACTGAAGGCTGCAGGCTGGAGGGATACGGGATCTGGATGCGGTTAGAAATCAACCGATCCGACTCAGACATAGAGACAAGTTCACATATGTACTCGTACTCGTCGTACTCGAGGATCCAGCCAACGCGGGCGCACACGGGGGGACGATGATATATAATAGTCCGCGTCGCACTTAGGCACAGTAGAGGTTCTCAATTACAGCTTGAACTCTGTGCTGAGTGCGTACAGTATACTGTACAAATTCGCCTAGTCA